GATAAGAAAACGTGTCTTTTAAATATTATCAAACATGATAAATATTAAAGTACATACACATGTACAACTGTACAAGTTGAAATTCTGTCAGTCTATGATTCGATTAAATTAATGCGGGAAACACCTGTCACTTAAAACAGTTTACATAACATTAATTTTAATTCTATATACCTTAAATATTTAGCTGTAGTATCAGCCTCCTTGGGCAAGGCTAACGCCAAAGAAAGAAGATGTTTACGTTTGCTCATCGCTTCTTTTGAAAATGAAAGTAAGCCTCGATTTTTTTTACCTCTTTCACGGAAGAGTTCCACACAAGTCCAAACTATCAAGTAATCAAACACGCTAAGTAGGAGAAAGCCATGAGCCGACAAGAGTCGATTTTGAAATAAAACAACGTGCATATTGCTGTGATTTGCTACAAATATGGCATCCATAACCCAACAAGTGAATTATCTTCTGGCCTCTGGGCAGTATCACACTATTTTGTCCATCATCAAAGGTTTTAGAAATGGGGCAGTGTAAGTAAAAGCAAAATACAAATGTAAGTTTTTCCAGTGTTTACAAGTGTCAACAAGTGATCGATTTTTAATACAATGAATCAGCTTTACGGACTCGGTCGCCTATCGGTTACGTTAACATGCAGGGTTGTTTCTAAGAATTGAAATAACAGGTGACTTCAAGAAAGTAGAAGGGGGTCTGGGGTTTGATCCTCCCTAAAGAGGGGGTTGGGGTGCAATACCAAAATGAATGGGGAATTATATCAATTTGTTTAGAAAAACTCCCTGGCCCCTGGGCTTGAGGGAAAACTCTGTACATATCCCTTTTTTTTAAATGTAAGTTAGAACATGTAGAATCAGAGACTGTCATGCATCTGAACCCTTTTAAAATAGCCCTTGGGCTATTACATTTAATTCTCCAATTGAAATGTAACCGGAAAGGGGGAAAAATGAACCAGAGTGTGATTCGAACTCATATGCCTTGTGAGCTGTGAGTCATTTTAAGTGCTCTACCAAATGAGTTATATGGTTATGCAGCTAAATAAATATAAGATACATCATGTTACTGTCTCAAAATATAAGCTATATTTGGGCAAGGGTAAGAGAACATGACAGAGAACAAGGCTTACAGAACCCTCCATCATGTTTTTGACATGAGCCCAAAAATAACATATTTTAAAGCAGTAATCATGTATTTTGTTTATCCTGCAACATATCTGACATCCAAAACAACCTATTTTGGACCTGAATTAGGCACATCTCTGCAGTTAAATCCAAGACGCAAAAGCAAAAACAATGCAATGTACATGACATCATAGCTGCAGATCTGTAACTCTCCCCCCAAAAATATATTGACAGTTGCCAGTCTGTCAATATATTTTTTTTCTGTGAGATACAGATCTACAGCTAGGATAAAATATGTCTGACTGCCATTTTTTTTCTTTCAACTAAAACATTCACCCCAAAAGTTACCAACCAAGGCTTTTCCCTGACATGTCTTTCACCAATCACAATATAGCAAATTGCAGAGCACCAACTGTAACATGTCTGGAGGGGGGGGGGAATGTGACAGATCAATTACCAGACCAGAATTATTGAAACCGGGCCCTTTCTAACAAAAAAACTAATGACTAAGACTAAAGTGTAATTTTGAGAATAATTTTTAGCCCACCTCGACAAAGTCAAGATGTCTGATGAGCTTATGCTATACCCTTGTGAAATGATATACTTTGTGTACAATATTTGTTCAACTTGCTACAAGGTCATCGCAGAAAAACATTTTAATATTTTTCAAAAATATGAAATTGAATAGTGAAGCATGCAATAGCTTTTTCCTATAACAAAATATTTTTTTCTCTGTAGGTATGGTGCCAAAATCAGATTTCCCCATGCCCTAGTGATGACTCTCCTTTTCAGAAGAGGAAGGTAATTAGTTAAATATTAATTAATTTCAAATCACTTCACCAGTTTCATCATGTATGAAATCAACCAATTTTTCTCTATAAATAGAATAGACTGGTTAATAAATTATCCTTTTATCAACAATTGATATACCCGGGTAATATATTTTACAAAGCTTTAACATTGATTTCATTTGAATTTAATTGCAGTTTTAAAGAAATGACCCAGGGCATATTAGAAGCCACCTTCACACATTCCAAAAACCTGGCCTGTTTTGTGGTGGCCTATAAGACCTTAACCAATATACTGGCCTGGCTGGAAACCCACGAGAAACAGTACCAGTCCTTTATAGCGGCCTTTATAGGGGGATACTTTGTATTCGGAAAATACAACAAAGTTAACGAACAGGTATGTAAAATGCTGCTGATGCTTAAGGGATTTATAATGTAAAATGATATGCTACTGAATAATTTTAATGTCTGAAGGTGCGTCTTTGATTGTCAAAGGTTTCCAGTCCAAAATCTAGTTAATTTCGGATTGGATACCCTTGAATAGGGAACGTGTATCAGAACAGAAAGCTCAGTACAAGTAATGTTCAATCATGTAATGAAATGTTTACTCACTTGACTGCTTGAAGTCATTCTGTATATTTTCACTACACTCTTTTTATATTCAATTAGCTAGCAATGAAGGGGAACAACTGTGTATAAGTATTATTAGACAATGTGCTTATCTTTCCAATACATAATCAATGCCATACATGATGATTTTTTTTTATAATTATGTATATATAATTATTAGACGATATATCCTGTGACAGATGAGTCACTATAGACTTGTGTACAGTTTAAATTGATTTAATTATTAATCTAAGAGGTCATTGGTATTCCATTTTGGTGTGAAAATTTAAACCTCACAGTTATTAGAAAACTCATATTTCACTAAATTATGGTGATGCATTTAATTATATGCTTATTCAATCTTGTTTCCTTATGTAAAAAAAAAAATGAATTCATTGTAATTTGTAATTGTAATAAAACGAATACATTAAGTATGATAATAAGAATATACATTTAAACTGCAGATCAACCTGTACTTGTTGTCCCGAATTCTCTACGGACTTGCCAAGTTATCAGTAAAGCGTGGGTACATTCCGGCTCCCAAGGCACCTGTGTTCCCCTGGTTTGCGGCCATCGTGTGGGGAATTGTGTTGTGGTTATTTGAATATGAACGGGACACCCTACAACCTTCTCTGAAGTCCTCCATGACTTATCTCTATCATGACAGTAATAGATGGAATAGCTTTAAGAATTTCCTTATATATAACAAATAATTAGATCAGCCTGTTTTATAAAACTATTTAATGCAGATTATAATCAAGTATATATTTTTTTTCCCTAATTATGATTTTGATTTTGTTAACTTATGTTCCAAGTATTGCACTCATAACCTAGCTGTCCAATTAAATCTAAAAAAAATGTCATATGAAACAAAAAAGAAAAAAAAAGATAGAGATGGGTGTATAAATTAAGTACTAAACAGTAAGGCTTTAATTATCAATTATTTGCCAACATATAATTACCATGTATATTGAATATAGGACCAATCATATGATTACGATGCTTCATAAACTTTATGGTTAAAGATTATGGAAACAATTGAACAATGTTATATTTTCAAATTGAATCACTTTTAAGTATTTATTCCTTCATATGTCAGGAGCAGCTTCTGCCCGTATTTATTAAGTGTGGTTGAGATTCTTTTACCTTCAACCTGAAAGTCAGTCTGTAATTATATGTACACATTTACAGTGTAACATTTCAAAGATAATAATTTCATGTTTGTATACAATTTTTTGTCAACCTTTATCAGTTATTTTAAAAATATGTACCAAAAATTTATTCATGTATATTTATATATTAATTAAGCTGTCATTGACTGTATAAGGTTGTTTGAGGCTTGATAAGTGTACATATAACTCTGATATATTTAAAATTAAAACATGTAATTACATGCAATGTTGCTGCAGATGTCAGTATGATTAATTAATGATATAGATTGATCTTTTGATCATCGTCTGATACATGTAGCAGCAGTAAAATTAAATATGTAAAGAATGATAACTTGTTGAACCAATGATATGTATTTATTCTGAAAATGCATAGATTAATGTGTGGCTTTTCCTCATATCATCCTAGTGTAGATGTTTGGGCTATACTGACAGTGGATATTTGCCTGGGAACATGCCAATTAAGCTTTGTGGTAGAGCACCTGACTTGTTATACAGGGAGGGGTCTTGGGTTCGATTCTCAGTCCAGCTATGTTTTATTATGGATTCCTTATTTCCAATACATTTTAGTGGCCAGAAGGGGGGGGGAGTGGCTTCTTCAGGTTATGAGTAAATTAGTAAGTCCCAACAGGGCCTGTGATTTTGTGTTTTCAAGGTCAAAGACTATGAAGGGAGGGAGGAATGGATGGTCCAGGCTACAGGGGATATCAGCCTGGGTAGCTCAGTGGTAAAACACCTAACTGGGGTCCAAGGTTCAATTCTGGTCCAGCAATATCTTTTCTATGTAAAATTTCCCCTTTTCCTACTATACTTGCACGAGAGCTCAACATATTTTTCTGATATTATTGACTTATTGTATTGCAATAATTATTTTTTTTTATTTGAAGTTGAACATTACTGAAAAGAATTAATCACAATTGAAGGTTTTCAAAGTTTGTGTTGTTTGTGAGAAATATAGTTATTAATAAATATTTTTGCCTGTCATCTACTTTTCATCCTCACAGCATCTGGGGTTCTTAGTCTTCTTTGGAAAAAACAATTAGAAATTGTAATTTCCCTGAAATCACTGCAGTCAGCCAGTTAAAATTAGGGATCCAACAGCCCTGAGTGGACTTATGACCCCTGATGTTTTGAGGATGTTAAATTCTGTGTTCAGTTTCATTTCAATATCTTATTACTTTTACTTTATTGTTTAAAAATAAAGTCATTTTGAATTTCACTGCTTTAATAAATTTGATAAAAGTTGGATAAATTGTAAGGGAGAAAAAAGAAGAATGAACTTGTATATAACATTGATGTTGCATGTGTATTTGTTTTAGGAATGTAAGCTGATACAATTGTCTTAATACAATTTTTATTGCCCTTTAAAGCAGAATCTTATGCACAGTTGATACATCTCTCAGATACATGTATGTACTGGTACTCAGAATAGTCCTTCTCATTTCCAGGAAAACAATTCCTAATCATCTGGTTCCATGTTACCTATCCACTTCCTTGCAGCATAAGCTACCTCATATTCTCTCCGCATTCAACCATATTTTTATGTAATATGGTTATTTTTTATTTTTATTCGTCCTCAGGTTCTGGTTCCGGTTCGGGTTCCTCTTCTGGTTCAGGTTCAGACTCCTCTTCAGGTTCAGGCTCCTCTTCTGGTTCAGGTTCAGGCTCCTCTTCTGGTTCAGGTTCCTCTTCTGGTTCAGGTTCAGCATCCTCCTCTGGCTCAGGTTCAGGCTCCTCTTCTTGTTCAGGTTCAGGTTCCTCTTCTGGTTCAGGTTCAGGCTCCTCTTCTGGTTCAGGTTCAGGCTCCTCTTCTGGTTCAGGATCCTGCACCTCTTCTGGTTCTTTCTCTAGTGATCTTGTAGGTTCATCTTCAGGTTTTGGTTCCTCTTCGGCTTCATGTCCTGGCGAAGGCTCCTCTGACTCTTCTTCTTTAGATTCTTCTTGATCAGAATTTTCATCACTTGATGAACTTGATGAATCACTGCTGGATGAAGATGTGTCTGAATCCTTTTCACTACTTTCTTTCTCTTTGTCAGAACCTTTCTCAAATGCATCTTCTTCTTTTGCATCCTTATTTTCAGAGTGAGATTCCTCTTCAGATTTTTCTTCAGTTTTTGAATCTGACGACTTTCTAGATCCTGTTTCGGCTGCTTCAGGATTGTCGTTTTCAACTGTATTTTTGTTATTTACCTCAAGATCTTTCTCACTGAGGTTTACAGATTCTATTTCTACTGCGAAAGCATCAGGGGTGGGTGAGTCTTTATCCGAGTCTTCGGAATCGGAGGTACTCGCCCAACTGCTTATAATAGAGGATATAATGCTACCAGTGCTCTTGGTTCGATGAATCTTCTTATGAATTTTCTTTTTCTTCCTTTTCTTTACTTTCACTTTTGCTTCTGCAACATTTGTGTCGTCTGCAAAAGTAAAGATACAAAGGAAGGCACTAACGTATACTTGATTACAGAGTACGAATCAATTTTTAGCACTAGAATAGTTGATTTTGAAAAATTATACTTGTCTTATGACGAACGTCGGATTCTGCGGGGATATCAGTACACAGCAGTATTACCAATACAATCAGGGCTGAACCAATGAGGGCAAATAAGGCGTAGGATATTCGGAAATCCTCTACGTGTTCCGTTGCTTGAAGAGATCGAGCTAGCGCACCTGCAGTGAAAGAAATGAAACTGAAAATTAACAAACACATATTTTAGTGTCCCTTTCCTATGTTTTACTCTTGGTGCTGTTCGATTTCATTGATTAATTCTGTATGCAGATTTTTGTCAGTCCTTCTATTTTTTTTGTAAGCAAATTAATGTTTCATATAGAAAAGTGTATATAATTTTTTTGGAAAATGTGGCCTATTGAACGAGAATACGATATTCAAGGGATTAGACAATTAAAATAATGCGCGTTTTTCTTCTTTAATATTGGGCCCGAAACGCAAGTCTTCAGTTATTATCGCGCATATCAATGAAATATAAATTATGGAGATAACGAACAGTATTCAAACTCAGAAGTCAATAAAACAATACATAACTGGAGCAGAGCAAACACAGACCTCCAAAAAATCAGAGGTGCGATCAGGTGTCATGGAGGAGTGAGCATCCCCTGCCGACAGGTCACACCTGCCGTTTGCTCCTTGTTATGATAGGTAAATAACGGGGAAATCCGTTGACAATTCCGTGTGTATATTATGGCCTAATAATCAGTATGAAAAAAGTCAGTCATCATCTGACTTAGTGATGAATTGTATTTGCTGACAAGGTCATTATATCGAACATAGAACATACGATATGATTACTTTAAACGAGACTGCATGCTGAACGTCTTTGTCTAAAAAAAACAGCACACATACATAGATATTGTCAATCAGAAACTCAATATATTTAATTTATTCTTTCAATATGTTACAAGATGCATGTACATGTTATAAGGAAGGTATACGACATAGATATGGATAAGTTATCAGATTTGAAATAGATAGTTCATCGAACATGATAGGATTTATCTGTTCCGGGAAATCAATGCGGAAACTATTGAACTTTAGCAATTCGTATATCATAGATAATTTAGTTGAACAGCCCTACATTAATTGTGTAAGCTGCTAGATTTTTTTTTATGTGAATGAAATTAAGTAATAATCATTGCGCATCATTATAAAATCTTATAACATCTGCGAAAAAGTTATTTCAACTTGTGCCAAAGAATTAGTATCAATTTAATATTGGTCATTTATTTATTAAATTACTGACATTAATACATTATTATGAGTGACTATTAATTTAATGATTAACTCTTGTGTTTCTTGCTTCGACTGAAAGAAGACCATATATATATTTCATTTATTTTAAAAAACGAATGTATGAATCCATTGTCCAATGTTATTTTTGGAAAACAAAGAAGATTTGTAGGCCAAATCATCTGGTCGTTGCTCCAGACAATAAGATCTGATATTGGATTTAGTCAACAGTAATTATGTTCCCCAAACGGAGTTTGGGAACATATTGTTTTTACTCGGTTTCTTATTATTATTATTTTTTTTCTTATTTGTTCTCCGGTACTTTTTTGTCCGCGAGTGTTCTCAGAAACTGTTCACCCAACTGACCTAAAACCTTTTTAGGGTTAATGGGTGTGTAGTGTAGGTGTGCGGAACGAAGGTCATTTTGCGCGCATACGCATGCACGTGCGTGCGCGTGCAACACGTGAAATGACTTGTATACTTAATATAGCTATAACTTTTACATTTTTTTAATGAAATGATTTGAAACTTATTATTTAAAGATATATTAATAGTGTAGATAATGTGACACTGTCAAATTAGCACGAACTCACGCGCATGCACGTGCGCTTCGCTCTGATTGGCTGAAACAAAAATCTCAATATCTTTTCTGTTTTTTGACGAAATACTGTGAAATTTAAAACATAGGCATACTTTAGGATGTTCTACAATATGATATATAGAAATTGTCATGAAATTACGCGCATGCACGTGCGCTGCAATCTGATTGGCTAAAACTTTAAATGGCTATAACTCCCTTGTTTTTCAACCAAACAGCATGGGATTTAGAACATAGACAGACGTAATGGACTCCTACAAGAACGTATGGTCATCATGAGCATGCTTGCACGTGCATGAGCGTGCGCTTCGCTCTGATTGGCTGAAACAAAATTCTCAATATCTTTTTTGTTTTTTGACGAAATGCTTTGAAATTTAAAATATAGACATGCTTTAGGATATCCTACAATATGATATATAATAATTTTCATCAAATCACGCGCATGCACGTGCGCTGCAATCTGATTGGCTTAAACTTTAAATGGCTATAACTCCCTTGGTTTTCAACCAAACAGCATGGGATTCAGAACTTAGATAGACATTATAGACTCCTACAAAAGGGTATGGTCATAATGCACATGCATGCACGTGCGTGCACGTGAAATGAGTAAAATTACAAATACACTAGATTAAACATATTTTTGGATTAAATGCTGTAATATTTAGTATATTAAAATATATGATTAGTGTAGACAAGATGATATGGTCATTACGCACATGCATTCAAATGCGCATGCGTGCAATGCTGAAATTGATTACCTCTGGGAAAACTTTGTTAAAATCTTAAATGTATCGCGTTTGTCTTATTTAATGAAGCTTACACGGAATATGGCCCAAAAGGGAGTTGGGGAGCGTTTGGGGAACATCTGTAACGGTTCCCGTTACAATTAGCCCTAGTTAAAAAAAAGTTTTTCAACCTGCTTTTCTGAACGAATATTTATTTATAGAGCTACTCTTTGGTGCATCATCTCCAGTCTTTTAAAAATCGGATTCTCTTTAGAATCATTGCAAAGATATATCTAACACATTCCCTATCATATAATCACGAAAACAAAATTATTGGAAATTAGCTCTCAATTGGAATTAACTTTGGACTACTTTTCTAGATCTTCCCCTCCCTCTATAACAAATAAATACGAATACATGTACACTGTAGCTGCATAGTTTTGGCAAATTTTTGGGGGAGGGGAACCTTTTATTGAATGATTATTCAGTATATACACTGTATGTTACAATCTAGATTTAAGGCCTTAGATTAAAGGTCACAGTCCATTTTTCATGTTCGACGGTATGTTTAACTCAAGGTCTTTCACAAAATTCATGGTCTCTTGAGTTGTTGGAAGAACAGAAAGTTTTTTAATTACTGCTTACATGTACATATATTATGTAATATATATTTTAAAATATGAGTAAACTAATGACAAGCACACGTATGAATAGAAGGGGGTCTCTGGCATGAGCTTTGCTAAAAAGACACCCCACCCCACCCTCACCCATAGTTTTCCTTTGCTCAAAAAATAGGGAGTATAATTGAACAATAGAAGGTGGTTTCTTGACACACACCTGTATTTTAAAGTCGACGCTGTCCTGCGGGCATCGTAACACTCATCTATTTAAACTAAATGTGGCCTTGGTTTACGTTCATTTCTTTAAAATACGTTGTATTCCGATAAATTGCTGAGCACTTCAGTTGCCAAATGGAAAAGGTTGACAGCTCCGAGGAGTATACAAAAAAATATCTTCTCTAAAAATAAATTGGCTTCTAGTGTGTATTGCTGTAAATTTCGACAACCTGGACGCGTGATTTGTTCAAACTATTTATCTTTTTGAAAGTAAATCTGTGCCAAATTTGTTTTTAAAACACAATTTTTGGAACATTTGGATGATTAAAATGAATATTTTAATATGATTTTACTCTGAATAATACATACTTTTACAAAGACAAAAACCATCCTATTGTATAAGTGTGCATGAACTTGAATATTGGCCATGAAAACTATTTGCAGGTACCCCACCCCCAGCCCGCCTTTCTCTCTTCCTTTCTGTAAATGAAATATACATGTAGTTGTTTGACATGTTTGATGCATGTGCAATATATCATAATCAGCTGTAGATAATACATCATTTTGACACTTCGTGGTTTTAAATCATATATACATATGCGATATTTACAGATAGAAATTGACAACTGGAAACTCGTAAAACACATAAATCTGGCTCAATGTTTCAAACAGCTGTCTATATAAACAAAATCCTCCTTATAAAATCATGACTGAATTTTTTTTCCTTACCTTTGAGGTGATAAAACACGGCCAATATCTTCAGGACTTCCATACTTAATATATGCTACATGTAGCTCGTGTATATGTTACTGTGTTAGTAAACACACACGGATCATTGCACCATCGGTATGTCAGCGGCTAGCATATCATTCAGGTCAAGTATACATCAGTAAAAAGAACCATTGTCCATTTAAACTTATTTTCCCTTCTGATAGACATTTTAAGCCAAAATTAATTATCTCTAATAAAAAGACATTTAAACATCCAATAGCACCTAATTTCTTTTACTACGTTTTTATTAGAATTGTCGGCTACATTTCTTATACATAGCCAGAATAATTATGGAAGTAACCCTGCGATGCTCGAAATTTGTTTACCTCACTAACTTGTATACAATTATCCCACAAACCTATATAGACTAGAGCGAACGGAAAGTGTCTGTATATACATGTGTGTTATATTAAGAGAAAGAAGTTCCTCGAGGTTAAAAAAAATAAAAATATACATTTAAAAGCATATCCCCCGAAAATAAAATGTCCGAAACACCCATATAGTGAAACATGACGCATACTCATTAATACATTTGTACTGATATGCAATCGGAAGGTTAGAGTACATTTCCCCCCATATCATTGACATGCACTAAAGTACATGCATCTATCATATGCGTATATGCATTTCAATATTTATATCAATCGCAGCATCAAAACCAATAATCTTCCATATGGCATTGCATGTACTTCTAATCTACGGCTGAGAATATTATGTTTAACAAAGTTTTATTTTTGGTTGATGCATTAAAGAGAGAGAGAGAGAGAGAGAGAGAGAGAGAGAGAGATTAACCATTCAACGTGCCATTATCCAGTGATAGAGGTAAAATTAATATAAAATGATCGGAGAGACACGTGCCATATGTTGAAATTAAGGAGGGAGAAGTCCAATCTCAGAATGGAATCCTTGTTCTGTCGGACACAGAGGGGTTCATTACTAACTCTCTGTAACTACACACCCTACAAACTCATTCATATACCTCCAAGATAAGACCCTGTTTTCTATCAAAAAGTTCTATGTATCGTGACAGATTGTAGAATGTGGCCATTTTTCTCTTTTCTCTCTCTGGTTTTGAAAAGTTGATGATTGGTTAAAGATCCGTAAATTAGCTTGTCTTGGAGATTGTATAGCTTTCAGGTAAGTTGAAGAATTTGTAAATTCAAAACTTTATTCAATGTTTATTGGTTCCCATTGAATTTATTTATGATGCCTTCCTTATACGTTGCTAGAAGTTTTGAAAGAAATTTTGAAAGGAAAAAATATAAGCAATTTAATAACACATGCATTTAAAAAATAAAAGTAGTTTGCATGTGATGCATCATGCATAGGACATACAAGGGTCTTGCATGTATCTTGAATACACTTGCAAGCTTTACTCAATTAAATACAGCTTAGTATTATTCATAATACCTATACATTGAAAAGTGCAAAATATATAAGTAAACTCTAAAGATTGAAAGATAAGCTGACGAAAATTGATCATCGCTGGGTCATTAATAAGTTTTAACAATTAAAAAAAACACGTAAACAGTACATTCATTGTTATTTTAAGATATTTTATTGTTGTTTCAATCATATTACAAAAAGTATTGAAAATGTCTCAAATTGGCCCCTCAGTTTTTGCACATTTCTAATACAAGTAAAACATCCTCATATACCTTTTTCCAATGGAAGGTTCAAGTGCAATACATTCTTTTTTTTAACAAATAGGGTTTAATCGTACATATTTCACGGTTTAAAAAAAACCCACAGATCTCATGATATACACCTTTAATAAGACCCAATCAGTTTAAAATGAGATTCTTGAAAACAAAACATAACTAAGTTCTTAAATAAATTCGTGCATGATTGTGCATTTATAGAAACGAAAGCAAAAATGTAATGAAATGAAAAGAAATATTACTTTCATTTTGAAATATAGACGAGGAATAAACTTTGATATTTTTATGAAAAATATGACTCTGTGGGAAATCTTAACTCATACAATTAAAAAATACTTTTACTAAAATAATGTGAATCATTAATGTTAAAATTCAACATGGAGATAACGAACAGTATTTAAGCTCAAAAGTCAATTGAAATGAAACAAAAAAAGGGGCAGAGCAAATACGGACCTCTAAAACATCAGAGATTATATCAGATTCCATAGAGGAGTATAAGCATTCCCTGTCAACCGGTCATACCCGCCGTGTGCTCCATGACATGATCGGATTAACGGAAAAATCTGTAGATAATTCATTGTGTAAGAAATGGTCTATCAATTGGTAAAAAAAAAACGTTGGACAGCATTTGGATTAATGTAAGATTGTATTTGCTGACAAGCCACAAGGTCATAACATCGACCATAGAACTTGCAAAATGGTTATTTCAAAGTAAACTGTTGAAGTCTTCAGCAACTTGTTTGTCCAGGGTGTGCCTTGTTTTGGGAATTGTTCATACTTAGAATTTACTCTTTTGAGAGACATACACCCCATTTGCAGATGAAAAAGGTATATTGCTACACAAATAAGAGAAGTTGACGATAGAAAATTTGAAGCCATCACGTTTATCAAAAGGGTCATAAAATCGTCATTGACATCTCTTCTAGTACAATATCTTGTGTAAGACTCTGTGGTATTTTAAGTTCACTGGGATATATCGACTCGTCATATGAATTCAATTAACTATTATTTATGGATAATATGTTTTTAATATGTCTAAATGCCAAGTTAAAGGCCACAGCAAGTGTTCTTCTTCTCACATATATGTCTCTGAATAAGTTCTGCTTTATATGAAAACAAAGATAGGTCTGCTGATTATGGTATGCAATTGGTATCCAAAATAATTCTGATGAATGTCTGGAGACATTATCTTTGAAAAATGATATTTTCAATCAGAAACTTAAGCCCCTTTTCAAAATATCAAATTCAGAGTGCACTTCTAATTTAAATAAAATGACTTAAAATTAAAACCTTGGCTGAAACCATTTTTATATTCACAGAGTTGTTTCATTTGTTCATTTGATCTGACCTACTCTATAAACAAAGACAAAATTCCTGTTATTTGTATGCTTTCAATGGTTAACTTATATGTATTTACAATATTCATTGATGTGCGATGATAAATGGCCCAATGATATAATTCCTATCAGTCGGCACTTTATGTAATATGCTGGGGTAAAAATATCAGGTCATATCTTGAGAAATTTCAAAACTCAAATAAATCAGTTTCTTTCATATGAAATATAGGTGCATAAAGATAAAGAACGATATCGATAAAGATAAAAAAAAAAATACAAGCAAAATATTTTTATGAACAGGGCATAATATACCGACCCTGGAAATTGAAGAGATTGGTGTACTAAGTTTAACGTCAATATGTGAAATTTGGAAATCATCGATTGATCGAATGCAAAAGATCCGTATCTGTTCCAAAGATATTTTGCATTGTCTTTTACTTTTTCTTTCATCAAAATGAGCTTGAATTCATTAGCTTTTACAAATTTTAAAGAAATTAATAATTATTTAAAACAAGTGATTTTGTGTTTTTAATTGGTGGTGTTCCTCATTTCAATATTAGAAAAGCTTCCATACATAGGATATTGGATGAAAGCAGCGCATCTATAGATTCTTCCTTTATTCATTATATATCAATATCAAAAAACAATATTATAAAGAACATTAACTATAAAGAGTAAGGAAACGGTATACTTTCCTCTAACTTCAGAAACTAGATAACGTGACCACCTGTAGATATCTATAGATTAAGAGAAAAATTTCTAACTTTTGTTTCAATTTATTCCATTAATATATTAACTAAGTTGAAATAATCCGTGATGGAGCTTCCCTAGATAACCATTTATTTTGAGCGTGGCAAGAAACAAACATATATTCCTACACCGGATATTGTCTGGTTTCTGGATTGATAGAAATGGCTTTTGGAACTTAAGTCTATCTTCTCATTTCCTGTAGATTTCTTCACGAGGAAATTTACTTTGAAAATTGATGTAGAAAAAAGGATCTGCAGCATCAACTATATATTATCGCGGAAAGATAATTATATAATATATCTGGGGTAAGATTTATTTGGTATTTATTTTAATAAATCTTAAATCTTTTGTTGAAATATGTTAACTGAAAGAAATGATTTTTACGATAATAATTGTGTGTATCATTTAACACGTATATGACAGAAAGCCACCTACAAAATCAAGGCCACCGCCTCATAACCAATACATTGATAACAGACTTTAAAATACGGATGGAAAAAGAAGAAAAAGGTTGATCTCTCTCCATTTTGTCTTTTAATCAAAATGGCTTTCTTAATTAAGCTAGAGAGAGTGATCACCTTAAGATTGACTGAAGGGTCATTTCGATAGGACTGAGCAATTTATAATTGTCTGACAATGGCTGAGAAAACCAAGTAGACAACCTAAAAAAGTGACTTCGAATCCCATGTGGGACGTGGAGACCGGTCCTTCGGATGAGACCGTATAAACCGGGGTCCCGTGTCGCAGTAGGTGTTGGTATGAAAAAGATCCCTCACTGCTCAATGGCCCTAAGTGCCGAGCATAGGACAAAATTTGTAGCCCTCCAACGGCAAGTGGTGGCGTCTCGATAAGAGTCAAAAATTCTCGAGGGGGACGTTAAACAACATGCAATCAATCAATCCTCTGCAATTTCTTAATTTTATAGATAAGCTTTTCTTTTCACCTTGCTTACTTTGTATGTACACAACCTTATGGTAATTTTGATATTTGACAATGTATATTCGTATCGAATTTTAAATAGAATGGGGTGTTTGTAAGTAAAGTTTTATTGCAGTTGTTTCATTGATGAAATATATGAAATATATATTCGAGCTCAAAAATCCATTAAATATTACAAAATAGGAGCAGAGCAAACAAGGACCTCGAAAACATCAGAGGTGGAATCAGATGTCATGGAGGAGTGAGCATCCCCTGCCGACCGGCCACACCCGCCGTGTGCTCCTTGTCATATTCGGGAAAACCGAAAAACCCATTGACAATTCGAGGTATAAATAATGGCCTAACAATCAGTATGAAAAAAAGTCAAAGTTAAT